TCCGAGCCGGCCCTGCCGGTGAGCGGCGCGGGTTCGCGGGCTCCGGGGCGCCCGCTGCCCGCCGCGCCAACTTGCTGTGTGACCTTGGGCCCCGCCGCGGGCTTCTCTGGGCCGCTTCTCTTTTTAAATAATGGGGCCGTGCGCGTCTTTGCTCTCCTGAGGTCATTCCTGCGGAGTTGCGTCTCGCCGAGGGCCCCGCCGTGCGCGCGGCGTGGGGAGGCGGGCTGAGGCCTACCGGGCTCCCTCCGGCCGCAGGGCGTGGGGTCGGGCCCGGAGCGGCCCCTCGCGGGCCGGGCCTCGCTGATAGCCAGAAACAGGTGGGAGGGCCGGCGTCTCCGGCCTGCGCCCCGGCCGGGCCTCGGCCCTCCGCTCCGATCCGTGGGGGCCTGGCTGGGGGTGGGGCTGTGCATTAAAGGGTCCCCAACAGCACGGGGTGGGAGGAGGCAGCAGATGGCACCAGCGCTCCCCGCGAACCCGCCAGCGCCCGGGTACCCGGCCCGCTCCGGGACTCGGGACTGGCGGGCGACCGGAGCCCCCAGTGAGCCGCCTGCGGCGGGCTTTCCGTGAGGTCAGCGCTCATCTAGCTGATTAATTTTGATGTTTAGTTCGAGGGGGGACCTGTGGTGTAGTAGAAGAGTCTAATCACTGCCTGTAATTACAGAGCAGACCAAGCCACTAATGACGGAGCAGGACAAATCAGCAACCACCCTGCTTAAAAGGGTCTCCGGGGCCGAAATATTACCAAATAGGATAATTACCGAGATCCCGCCGTCCGGAGGGTCTCTGGGGGCTGTGAGCCCTCCCAAAAATCACAAGTTTCCAAAAATTTTCCTGCCATTGAGTTAAAATTAGGAATTGCCTCAATCAGCCAAGAGGAAGTTATCTTCCTAGCCCTTATTTTGGGGAGAGTAAAGATTTCTTTCCATGTATGTTTTATATATATTGTCTAGCTCGACCCTTAACGCTGTGGGGAGAGGCCTGGGGTGGGTAGGGCGGGTGCTGTGTGGTCCCCCGGTGTTAAAGACAGGTGGTGTTTCCGGGGTGGGAATGCTGTGCCCCTACTAACCTAGGACGTGAGTCACGGGGGCCGCTAGAGAAGTGTGGCACTTTAGGCCTGCCAGGTCCCCCCTGCTCGAAACTTGGGGACACAGGTTGAGGACGAGGATTGGATGCAGAAATGAAGGCCCCTCAGTGTCTTTTTTTTTTTTTTTCTTGTGAGAGTCTTCTGCGTTCCAGACTAGCCTCAAATCTCTGGAAATACTCCTGCCTCAGCTTCTGAGCACTTGTTTCACAAGCATGTGCCACCCGCTTATCTGCCTTGGTGCTTTTAAGTCTCTAGCAGAGTTTCCCAAGTGGAGGCTGTAGGCCTCTTTGCGACACTGAAACCGAGCCGTCCTTAGGAAAGTGCTAGAAAAGAATCACTTTGCCAGAGCCCAGGAGCCACTGGGCCTGAGGAAGGGGCTGTTTCAGCATCCTTGCTCCTCCCGCCAGCAGTCATCTTAGGAGGTCCCCCCTGATGTGGGCCCACCAGCAAAGAGGACTCCCAGCCCCTTCCCTTCCCCTGCAGGTTCAGCCCTCTTCCTCTTACCCTCAGAGTTGTCCCATCTGGGTCCAGGATTTGCCCCAGGGAAGAGTGCAGGTGGGCCCAAGCCAGACACTGTGCGCCCCCCCCCCCATCTGGTGCCTGGCTCTACTATGCCAGGCATGCAGTGTAATCAGCTCGGGGGCTGCAGAGCCTGTGGTCCCTTGTCCTTGCCAGGCTCCCTGGCATGGTCTTTGCAGGAAACAGCAGCTGGCTCGGGGTGGAACCCCAGCTTTGCCCACACCTTTGCCCCAGGGCAGCCGCACCCCCCACGCCAGGTCTGGGCTGGCTGTGCTCTCTACACCACTCCTGGGCCCTGTGGGGGTGGCCTTGGGCAGGACAACAAAGAGCCCTTCTGCTCAGAAGATAAGGAACTGATTAGGGCCAACTGCCAGGCTGGCCCCACCCTGTGGCAGCACAGGGGGCGCCAGCCAGAGTCTCGAACTGGCTCCTGGTGTCCTGGCAGGGCCAGGCCCAGGCCCCTGGGTCCGGGCAGCAGCTGCAGGGCGCCTTGGGGCGAGGGGCGTGGTGTGGCCGGTGCTGACGCTGCCTCTCCTCTGCAGCATCCCAGTGGCGCTCCACCTGCCCTAGAGAAGGAAGATGAGCGAGTCGAGCTCGAAGTCCAGCCAGCCCCTGGCTTCCAAGCAGGAGAAGGACGGCACTGAGAAGCGAGGCCGGGGCAGGCCACGCAAGCAGCCCCCAGTGAGTCCGGTGAGTCCCGGGACGGCGCTGGTAGGGAGCCAGGTGGGTGTCCAAGCCTTGCCTCGGTTTCCTTTTTGGGCTCGGGAGGTGCTGGCCAACTGAGGAGGTGTGGACACGTGGTCAGGGACAGTTAGTGTTGCGCGTGTGGTCTCCTCATGCCCTGTGTGCCCAAAACCGTTCTGTACCTCAGCCCAAGCCTCCAGACCCCAGGAGAGTGGGGGCCGAGGAACTGCAGGTAGGGACTTCGGCCAGGCCAGGAGCAGCTCTGGGGTGTGCCTGTGGGAAGCCACCACCTACCCCTCCATTTCCCAGGTGCTAAGAACCCCTGGTTTCTTTATTTGCAGTATTAGGGACTGAACTCAGTGCTCTGAAAGAGCTACATCTCCAGCCCCCTTGGTTGTTGTTTTGTGTGTGTGTTTTTGTGGGGGGTTTTTCATTTTTGTTTGTCCTTTTGAGACAGGGTTTCACTATGCAATTCAGGCTGTTCTTGAACTTGCAAAGATCCTCCTGCCTCAGCCTCCCCAAGTGCTGAGATTACAGGATTATAGGCGTGTGTCCCTGCTCAGTTCATGTGTGTGTTTTTTGTTTTTGGTAAAGGGAATCGAACTCGGGACCATGTGCTTGCCCGGCAGGCGCTGTGCCACTGAGCTGTTTTCTGGGGCCTATTTTGTGTTTTTGAGACATGGTCTCACTATGTAGTTCAGGCCAGCTTTGAACTCACTATGTAGCCCAGGCTGGCCTCAATGATCCTCCTACCTCAGCCACCATGCCTGGCCCCACCCCTACTTTAAAAATTAATTCTAAGCTCTGAAACAAGGTCTCACTAAGTCTCCCTGACTGCCTCAATTTATGCCTGGCTATGAGATTGTTTATCTTTCGATGTTTTGAGGCAAGGTCTCACTGTGTAGTGCAGACTTGTCTTAAACTTGCTTATGTACCCAGGCCAGCCTCAAACTCACGGTGATCCTCCTGCCATAGCTCCCAAGTGTTGAGTAAAGAAGAACTAAACATTGGAAAAGCTGGGCAGGATGTGACACACCTGCATTCCTAGCACTGATAGGCTGAGGCAGGAGGATCACAAGTTCAAGCCCCCAGACTGGGTGACTTAGTCTCAAAATAAATAGAAGGGGATGGGGTTATAACTCAGTAAAAAAAGCGCCCTGTGTTCCAGAAAGAAAGCAATGTGTGTACATATGTGTATGTTTATTTCTAGTTTTTCAGTGGTGCTAGGGGTAGAACCCAGGGCTTTATTCTAGGCAGGTGCTCTACTGTTAAGCAACCTCCCCAGCCACAGGTAGATAGGTAGATTTATATTTAGTACCTTTAATCATAAGATTCACTGCACGTAGCTCTTTGTCAGTCGCTGTGAAAGGTTCTCTGTACTACCCCGGCATCATGGTGCACGTCTGTATTCCCGGCACTTGGGAAGCTGATCCAAGAGGATCACAGAGTTCAAGGTCAGCCTGGGCTACACAGTGAGGCTCTAGAAAACAAAAACAAAGTTTCTGCAGACTTGCTGTGCATCTTCTGGACTTTGTCATCTCAGGCTGCTGGCGAGTTCCCAGGCCAGGGCTTCGGGGGCCTGAGGTGGGCTTTGCCCTGGCTCTTTCAGTGGATTTGGTGGCAGTGACTCCGTGGGTCCTGGAATGGGTTCAGGCAGCCAGCTGGAATCTTTAGGAAGCTGGTGCTGGGTGGGGGCGCATTCGGCTTCGCCCTTCGTGCGTGCTAGGGGCTGCTCTCAGCCTGGCTTCTGAGCATTGGCAGTGGCCTTCTATTCTGTCTGGGGCTTGAGAAGATTTCAGGAGCAGGGTCAGTGGGATCGCTGGGGTCTGGGCAGAATCCCTCTTCCTGGAGGGGACCAGGCTTGCAGCTGAAGGCGGGGTCCCCAAAGTCTCTCCAGCGTGTGTCTGAGGGTGGGTAACAGCGAGCCCATTGCTGGACACCGGATGTACGCTGATGGTCCCCCCTCCCCGGTACCGGGAATCGAACTCACGACCTTGTGCTTGCCAGGCAGGCACTGTCTTTGAGCTAAACCCCCAGCCCCACGATGGGGTTTTTGTGTCATTAAAAACCAAGGCTCCAGCATTGAGTGTGGAAGGGGACCATGGACAGGGACCTAAGTGTCTGTCTGCCACCTTGCCCTTCTCCCATGTCCTGATGTGTTGCCACTTTGCTACCCTGGGAAAGCGGGGTGGGGGCTTTGCGGCCGCGGGCTAAATCCCTGACTGCCTCTGTCCCTGCAGAAGGAGCCCAGTGAAGTGCCAACACCCAAGAGACCTCGGGGCCGACCAAAGGGGAGCAAAAACAAGGGTGCTGCCAAGATCCGGGTGAGGCTTGAAGCGGGCCCTGTCCTTCCCCCACGGCCACTGCCCTGGCCGGTCCCCGTCCTTGGCGAGGCAGAGGCCCGGCTTGCAGCACCATGAGGGGCCTGGCCTCTGCCACCTCTGGGTTGGGTGTCACCTTCATCCTAGTCCTTGAAAGGGGAGGGCCAGACTCCAGTGGCATCAGCCTTCAGAAAAGTTGTTTTGTTTTTTATTTTAAGATGCGACTCACATCCTCTGAGTCACAGTGGAGGGGCTGGGGGCCCTATGTATACTGGGGTGGGGGGTGAATGTGGCCGGCCAGTCATCCGCAGCTGGGCCCAGGTGGCCACCTATCCCTGCCAGGTGCTGCTGCCGAGTGAGCCCTGCCCAGCATCTTTAACTTAGGAATGTTTTCTTTGACCCTCTAGAAAACCACCACGGCTCCTGGGAGGAAACCACGGGGCAGACCCAAAAAACTGGTAGGTGCCGCAGCCTGCCTACCTGGGGCCGGCCCGAGGGGCTGTGCTCCTGAGTCTGCAGGCACAGGGGTGCGCTCTGCACATCGCCGGCCAGGAGGGGAAGGGCAGCCAGGGGACCCGGACACCAGGCGAGGGCCCTGCCCTGCCTGTCCAGGGGGACGCAGCGTGAGGGGAGATGTTGGAAGGCGGCCCGGAGAGGTGACCAGAAGCCAGAGGGAAGGGCGAGGTTTGTCCATTCCAGAGTCCCCTAGGAAAGAGGAGGAAACAGCAGAGGAGCCCAGTCTGGAGGGGCACCCTCCTTAGTCCACCCGGCCCACCCGGCCTTCCCTGCCCTCCGTGCCTGGGCAGGGGGCGCCCCCTTCTGAGGCGCACGAGTGAGTAACAGGAAGCGAGCTGTTTTGGAGTTTGTGCCTGGCACGGGGGCTGTGGTGACCCTGCATTCCCGCCCCGTGAGTGAGCCCAGTGGCACACACTTCCCCTTCCTCCCCGCCCTAGAGCGGGGTCAGCCTCGGGCCGCCCAGCGACCCAGCACCTGCCCTGGTAGCCACAGGCATCTGGTGGTGCCCAGGTGACAGGGCTCCCTGGGTGCCAGTCCCCTGGGTGCAGCCCCCGTGCTGCCCTCCTGCCCCTGGAGGGCTCTGGGCCAGTGCCTGGCTCTTGGCTGTGTGAGAGCAGCGCGTGTGTGGTTTTTTTCCTTCCTTTAAATTGTTCATTTTTATGAATGAAACGCGGCCATGGAGGTTGCTGAGTCACCCACACACTCAGCCCTGACTCATCTCCCTTCTGGAGAGCGGGGGAGTGCGGGGAGGGGGCGACCTGGGTGGAGGAGGGGCCCAGAGCTCTGTCCACTCTGCCTACCCGCAGGAGAAGGAGGAAGAGGAGGGCATCTCGCAGGAGTCTTCGGAGGAGGAGCAGTGACCGCGCCGCGCCGCCTGCCCCTCCCCGGAGGAGCAGCTTCCTTCTGGGACTGGACAGCTTGGCTCTGCTCCCGCCCCGCCCCGCCCCAGGCCTGTTGTCACCCCCGCCCCTCCCCACACTACACAGCACACCAGCCGCGCGGGCCCTGTGGCCGGAGCAGCGCCTTCGGGCTCGTCCCCAGCAGCCCCTGCCCACGCACACGCGCCCTCCAGGACAAGGCTAACCCCACTTAGCCGCTCCCCGCGTCCCTGCACCCACCTGCCTGGGGTCACTGCTCTCTGGGCCCTCGAGTTCCTCCCTGCTCCCTCTGGCTCTCCCTCTAGGGGCCTGGGAGGGCTCCCCTGGCCTTAAGGGGCCCCGGCCCCGCCTCGCTCTGACACGCCCACCTCACTGCTGCAGCAGCCATCAGGCCAGTGGGGGCTCGGCCCGCCAAATGCCCCAGCCAGTCTCAGCGGCAGGGCTCGCCCACCTGTTCCTCCCCCAGCCTTCCTAGTCCACCCCAGGTTGGACGCCCCCCTGGGGTACAGGAAGGAGCAAGAGCCGGAGGCCCCGCCCTCCATGCCACAGGCAAGATGAGAGCAGCTGGCACCCACCTGCTCAGGTGAGGCCCAGGTCCCCTGTGGCAGCCGCCCGAGGCCAGGCTTGCGTCCACCCTCCTGCTTCCACCGCGGCTGCTGGCCCGCGGGGCGCTGGTACCCGAGCTGCCCGCCCTTCTGCTCCCCACCCCCAGGGTTCTGGTTCCATCCTTTCCTCTGTTCACAAACTACCTCTGGACAGTTGTGTTGGTTTTTGTTCAACGTTTCACTCTTAGACATTTGTCGTTGCTGCTGCCATCAGCGCCAGACGTTCATCCTCATTGCCTCCCGTTCTGCCCTGTTCCCTCCCCAAGACGGGGGCTGGGGCGCCCAGGCTGGGTGCAGAGCACCCCAGTCCCAGGGAAGGTGGGGCGTTGCCCCTAGGATGCTGCCACAGAGTGAGGAGGGGCCATGTCGACCATGGAAGGGTGTAGGGGCCACCAGCTCCCCCTGTTCTGTTGGGGAGGGTGGCCATTATTTGTCCCAGCCTGGGGCTCCCCCTCTGGTTTCCTATTTGCAGTTACTTGAATAAAAAAATATCCTTTTCTGGACTGGTGTCTTGCGCTGTGCGCCCCACCAGCTGGGGTGGGGGCTCGGTGGGGCAGGGGCTCTGCCCGTCTATCCATCCCTGTAGTCAGCTTAAACTCCTCTTAGAGAAGTTAGCCACATCCCTAGCCACAAACCCGTTTTATTTACAAAATATTATATATACTGGATATCATACATCTGTCCCCACACGAGGGAAACAGCTGACCACCCTCCCGGAGGTGGCTCCTGGGCTGTTGAGAAGCAGGCGGACTGGGCCCCTACCCCAGAAGGAAGGCCATCAGTGCAGGGGGAGGGGGCAGGTGGCAGGGCCCTTGCTCTGGAGGTCTGGGCCCAGGTCACGTCTTGACGTCCAGCAAGGGCATCCGCTTGTGTTGGTAACCACTCTGCCAGCTGTGCACCACCTGTGGGGAGGCCGAGCCAAAGCTGGGGGCGGCAGCGCCCCACTGGGGGACTCCGCCCGTCCACCTGGTGCCCACACCCACCTTGGGATCTCCCACGTCGGACAGGAGCTCCTGCTCCGCCTCGTGCAGCTCCTCAGCCGGGTCGTAGCTGTACATGGGGAGCAGGTGATGGCGCAGCCTGTCCACCCTGGGGAACAGGTGGGGACACTAAGTGGCTCCTCCCTGGGACACAGGCTGGGCAAGAAAAAGTGCGGGCCTAAAGGGGCGTCCCATTTACAAGGGGAACTCAGTTCCTCCCAGCAGGGGAGAAGGTCACAGCAGGTGAGGGACAGGGACACTCACCGCTTTTTCTTCTGGACATACATTACCTGGAACAGAGACTGCACTGTGGAGGCCGCCTCGGGCGAGGGAACCCCACACCCTTCCCAGGACAGCTGGAGGCTGACACACCAGCAGGCTGCCCAGCCCCTGCCACGGCCAAGCTGGGGTGTACGGGGGTCTGCTTACCACAGCCACCACCACCCCCGCCAGGGTGATGAGGAAGAAGGGCCCCAACACATAGCCCACCATGGAGTCGCTGTCAGCCCGGGGGGCGCTGGGCACCGTGGTGTTACTCATCACGCCGGCAGCCGAAGGCCCGGGAGGTCAGCATGGGCAGCGGGGCCTCGGGAGGGGCCTCCACCGGCTCCCTGCAAGGGAGGACGGAGGTTAGGGCTGCACCTGCAGCGACACCCAGGCTCGGGATCCCTCCCCGGAGCTGGAGATCCGTGAGAATCGTCCCGGGTCAAACTGGGGGAGGCACCTTCCAGTGCCCGTGCTGGTGCCAGTCTCCAAGGGCTGGGCACATCCTGGGTGAAAGGGGCACCAGAGGGCCCAGATCCAGGGCCTGCTTCCTGGCCAGCTCCTGCCCTAAATCAAGGTGGGCGCCCACACCGATGCTGGCCGAGCGCCCGCAAGGCTCGGCTACCAGGAGCAGGTTCAGCGCAGCTCCCGCCCGAGCCTCCGGTCCAGGGGCGCAAACTGGCAAGCACAAGAGGGTCCTGAAGCCCAGGGCGAGGCGGGCATCGCAAGGGCCGCCTCGGTCCTGCTCGGGTCCCCGCCCCACACTCAGGCTGTGGGCCCCGTGCCTGGGCTCTGCGTCCTCCTCGCTCCCGGTGTCGCCACCGGCAGCCTGCAGCCCCCGACCCCAATCAGTCTCCTGTGCCAGTGTGGACGCGATGGGGAGGGATGTGCCTTCCAGATGATGTCACCTCGCTCTGGTCCCCACCCGGGGCTCCGCCCAGGTCCTGCCTGGCTGGTCTGGGCCGACAGGCAGAGGTGGACAGGGTCAGCCTCAGCGACAGAAGCGGAGATCACCCTGGGGCAGCTGCACGGTCCTGCCTGGCTCTCCAGCAGGGCCAAGGTACGAGCTACCGTAAGCCCCGTGTCCGTGGCAGCTCACCGGCTCCGGCCGGCCCGTGCCCGGTGGCAGCTCACCGGCCAGGCGGAGGGCCGAGGGAGGGCATCGCGCCGCTCCGAGGACGTTGGCTGGCCAGCGGCGGGCGGCAGGCGGTTCCCACGGCGCGGGAGGCTCAGCCGAGGCGGGGACGTTGGGGCTGCCCCGCGCCTGGGCATCCTGGGGCCCCAGCACCCCCAGGCGTGGGCCGCGCCGGCGCTCTGCAGCCCATCCAACCCGGCCATGCCTTACCTCCCGCCGCGGTAGCCGGGGACAGCAACGCCCTGGGTTGGCTCCCGGGCCCGGAAGAGCCGCGGGCGCGTGATCAAAGGACCCCGGCGGTGGGCGGGGGCCCGTCCCGGGCGCAGCCAATCCGGCGGCAAAAGGCGTACGGCCCCACCCTTCGGGAGCGACCAATCGCGAGGCGGGGTGGACGGGACGGGGCGGGGCCGGTCGCGCCTGCAGTGCCAACACGCGGCGGCAGGGGGCAGTCGAGGGCTGCGTAGCGGGCGGGGCTGTGCTGCGCACGGTTTCCCGGCGTGCCTCGGGCGGACCCGGGGCCGTCCCGCGCTGGGGTCAAAAGTGGGGCCTGGTCCCTCCTCGCTGGGTTCGACGCCTTACACTCCAGCGGTTTTTAAATCTTTGGTGCTGGAGCTCAAGCGCAGGGCACCCTACCTCTGACTTTGATTTTGATTGTTTGTTTTTGTCCTTTTGAGACAGAATCTCACTATGTAGTTCAAGCTGGCCTTGAGCTTACTTTGTAGCCCAGGCTGGTCTCGAACTCACAAAGATCCTCCTTCCTCAGCCTCCTGAGTGCTGGGATTACAGGCGTGCGCCACCACGCCCGGCTCTGACTTTGATTTTGAGACAGGGTCTCTGAGCTGCGCGGGCTGGCGTTGTGATCGCAACCTCTGACCTCGGCCTCCTCCGTGGTGGGCATCGCGTGCGCCCGCTGGCCAGCCTGGGGCTGGCCTGGGAGGCTTTGTCCACGGCCTGGGCCTCCTCGGTCTCCGTCTGTGACAGGAGAGTGGCCTGGCCGGCGCCGTGCCTCGGTCTTGCGTGCCTCCTGCTCGCCTCCTTCCGGTTTAGGGGACACGGGCGGGGCTGGGGTGAAAGCCCTGTGGGTCCCGGACAGCTTGGTGACCCTGGGCAAAGCTCTGGAAAATGGCCCACGCATTAAAACGGCCCACGCTGGACAGCGAGAGGCCTGGTGGGGAGTGCCGGGGGCCGTGCTGGCGAGGCATCATTTTACATCGGGAGAAACGAGGCGAAGCGTTTCTTACGACTGCAGAGAACCTGCACTCGCCTTCCACACGCGGAGTTTGTCCGTGTCTGTGTGGGTGTTGTCCCGAGCGCCGTCTCGCCACTAAAATCACAGATGATCAGGGAAATGCCAGGCTGGGATGGAGGCCGCCTAAGAAGCACGGTGGTGGCACCTGAACCAGCCCAGCCCCCGGCTCAGCGAGAGGAGGTCGGGGCGGCCCTGTTGCCCTGCTCAAGCCCCAGGGCTCCGCCTTGGCAGCCGGGAGGGGCGGGGAGCCCAGTCCACCCGCGCCCCTAAGTGAGGCCCGGGGGTGAGGCCTGCCAGGCAGGGCGAGGGACCTGGCAGGAGCACAACAGATCGTCATGTTAGAGAACAACCAGCTCAGAAAGACAAGTGGCTCAGGGATACTAGTCTGCGGGATTTAAGAAAGATACTTCGAGAGCAGAAGGGAGAGCGTTAGGGGCCTGGAGGGCATAAACGCCTGTGATCCCAGCACTGATGGGAGGCTGAAGCAGGAGGATCTCAAATTGGAGTCTCACCTAGGCAACCTGTGAGAACCTGTCTCAAAATTTAAAAAATGAAAAATAAAAAGGGCTGGGGATGTAGTGCAGCTGTAGAGAGCTTTGGAGTTCATCTCCAGTATGAAGGAAAAATGAGAGAGATCGTGATGTTATGAATTCATCGAGGTGAAAAGGTGTCCAGTATACTCTGTTAATTGAACAATAGGTTACAAAACAGTACACAGAGCCCATTTTTATTTTCAAAAAATGCATTTATGTACGAGATGTCAAGAAATCTCTAGAATGGTGTTCATTTAACTATTCTAATCAGTCTCAAGGAGTGAGATACTGTACGTTTTCCCATTTGCTTGAACTTCTGATATGAATTTGGGTTTTTTTTGGCAGTATTGGGGATTGAATTCAAGGACATCAAACTGAGCTACGTGGGGCAGGCATAGTGGCACAAGCCTGTAACTCCAGCACGTGGGAGGCTGAGGCAGGAGGATCACTGTGAGTTCTTGAGCCCAGCCTGGGCTGTATTTCTTTTTTTTTTGTTTTTGTTTTTGTTTTTTTCCGGTACCAGGAATCGAACTCACGACCTTGCGCTTGCCAGGCCAGCGCTGTGCCACTGAGCTAAACCCCCAGCCCCTGGGCTGTATTTATTATGGGGTTTAGCCAGCGAGGCGCAAGGACATGAGGAAGCACAGTCATCACTGTACGGAGACTCTATCTTGATGTATATTTACTGCAGAGAGAACCCGCTTCTGGTTTTCAACCTTTAATGAGAAAAAAAAAAAAAACAAACAAAAAACCACAGTATGAAGCTCAGCACAAAAAAAAAATGTCCTTTATGTGTACAAGAATGCTTGTGGTAGTAGTATTCTCTCTCTCCCTCTCTCTCTGCTCTGAGGATTGAACCTAAAGTCATTGTACCTCTGCGCTATATCCCAGCTCTTTATTTTTTTGAGACAAGCTCTTCCCAAGTTGCCTAGGCTGGCCTCGAACTTGCCATCCTCCTGCCTCAGCCCCCTGAGTAGATGGGATTACAGGTATGTACAACAGCATCTGACAACTGTTTTTTTGTGTGTGTTTTTTGAGACAGGGTCTCACTCTGTACCCCCGGCTGGCCTTGAATTCATTATGAAGCACAGGCTGACCTTAAATTTGCAGCAGTCCTCCTGCCTCAGCCTCTCCAGTGCTAGGATTACAAGTGTGTACCATCACGCCCAGCTGCATCTGATTTTTTTTTTGGCGGGGGGGTGGGGTTGGTTTTTTGAGATAGGGTCTCACTATGTAGTTTAGGTTGGTTTTAAACTCATTGTGTAGCCCACACTGGCCTTGAATTTTCAGTGGTCCTCCTGCTTCGGCCTCCCAAGTGCTAAGATTACAGGTATGCACCACCACATCTGGCTGCATATGATAGTTTATAAAATTTAGTTTTGTTTTGCTTTTGGTGTTGGAGATTGAACTCAGGGCCTTATGCATGCTAAGCAAGTGCTCTACCACTGAGCTAAACCTCCAGCCCTTTTTTATTTTACTGTGAGACGGAATATGGCCCCAATTTGAAATTCTCCTGTCTCAGCCTCCCAAATACCTTGGATTACATAGACGTGTGCCACTGTGCCCAGTTCCTACTTGTTTTGTTTGGTTTGGTTTTTTTCCGGTACCGGGAACCGAACTCACGACCTTGCGCTTGCCAGGCAGGTGCTTTTGCCGCTGAGCTAAATCCCCAGCCCCTACTTGTTTTGGATTACAGTTCTCTAAAGTATGCTACTTACCATTTAGTTCTGCTGACAGCAACTTTGGACCCTTTGACCAACACCTCATCCCTACTCTAGACTCAGAGCCTCAGAGGAGAGGGCCACCGACCATCTGGTGCCCTGCTGGGGACACAGCAGTTGTCACCTCACCAGGGCAGAGCTGTCCCCGCCCCTGGCTCTTCTCCCTCAGGACCCTAGGGCCCATGAAGCTGTGTCCGAAGGGGAGGCCCAGGGCCAGGTGACGCTGGGACTTTCTTCCCACCGAAGAAAGTGGCCGGGGCACATGCTCTGCACCATCCAGGGTGCACCCAGGGCCAGGGCGGGGCTCTTGCTCCTTCAGAAGGTGCCTTGAGATGGGTGTGCGAGGGTCACCCTGCCCCACCTGGGGAGGAGGACCCCGACATCTTCCCAGGGGGATGCTGGGCTCGTGAACTGTGCAAAGCCTGGTGGTGAGGGAGGTGCCAGAGGACAACTGAAAGTTTTAGGACACAGGAGTCTTGCTAGGTGAGCAGAGGCCAACTCACTAAAGGTATTGGGCACTAATCAGAGGAGGTGAAAGAAAAGGGCTGGGAGTGTTGTCAGGGAAACCAGGGGGCGGGGCCAATGTGGGCTGGGGCGGCTCTGGAGGCTGAGGGGAGCCGACCAGACCCTGGCGCAGAGCTCTGGGCAGCCCTGGCTCTCACACAGGAGGGACAGGAGTGGATGGTGCAAGAGGGAGTGGGGTTCTGAGGAAGACAACGTGGGGGACGTGGAGTCAGTCATGGCAGAGCGCGAGTCGGAACCTGGCCCTGCCTGCAGTGTGTCCAAAGTAAGACAGCTATTTATTTTTATTTTTTGGGGAGCAGGAATCGAACTCAGGACTTTGTGCTTGCCAGGCAGGCTGAGTAGATGGGATTACAGGTATGTACAACGGCATCTGACAACTGTTTTTTTGTGTGTGTTTTTTGAGACAGAGAATATATCCCTGGCCCCCCAAGACAGCTTTTTTTTTTTTTTTTTTTTTTTTAAAAAAAGAAGTGCAGCTAGGTGTGGTGGCGCACACCTATAATCCCAGGACTGTGGGGAGGCTGAGGCAGGAGGGTTGCAAGTTCAAAACTAGTCTGGGCAATTGAGACCCTGTTATGGTTTGTGTCTGTGTGTCCCCCCAAAGCCTCCTGCGGCCATGGGGCCGGCTTTTAGAGTTTGATTGATTATGGGTGTGAGAGCTACACCCGCCCTGGGGTGGATAGTTTGCATATGTAAGGGAGAGAAAGAGGGTGCTTCTGGCCATTTCCTCCCCATTTCCTCCCTTGTGTGTGTGCTTGTTGCTTTGCTGTGTTCTGCCGCCATGAGCTGTAGCTCTCTGCCATGTGCCACTCTGCCTTTAATCTGCCAAGTACGGACTGAAACCTCCACAAACTGTAAGCGAAATAAACCTTTCCTTCCTTCATTTTGGGTGTCAAGTATTTTGTCCCAGCAATGAGAAAAAAGTAACCAAGACAGACCCTGTCTCAAAATTTTAAAAAAAGAAAAATATGAAGCAGGAACGAGGTGGGGATGTAGCTCAGTTTGAAGACTCACTGTGAATTCCCAGCACCACCAAAAATAAAAAATTGCACATCAATAAAGACAGAGCAGCCACTGTTATAGCATAACCAGCTGTCTATACTTTCCATGTGAGGCTTTTTTTTTTTTTTTGTCTTTTTAAGACAGGGTCTTGATATGCAGCTCAGGCTGGCCTTGAGCTCACTTTGTAGCCCAGACTGGTCTCGAACTCGCAAGGATCCTCCTGCCTCAGCCTCCTGAGTGCTGGGATTACAGGCGTGCACCACCACGCCCAGCTCCACTTGAGGCTTTAAACTGCAGAACTGCTAGAAAGTCCCTTTTGACTGTGCTTATTTCCAGAACTGTAAAACGGAGGGCTGGAACTGGATGTAGTGGCACACACCTGTAATCCCAGCACTCTGGGAGGCTGAGGCAGGAGCATCACAAGCTTGAGCTCAGCCTGGGCAACTCAGTGAAACTCTAAAAAAAAACCTTCCCAGGTTGTGCTCAAACTTGCAATCCCCCTGCCTCAGCCTTCCAGAGTGCAGGGGTTCCAGGCCTGCACCCCCATGCCTGGCTCTTTCTCCTTTGCTTCCTGGCCACAAGGTGGGCAGTTCTGCCCCGCCAAGTTCTTCTGCCAAGATTGCAGCCTGGACACAGGGCGGAAATGACAGAGGTGAGGGACCCCGCCCTGCGGCTCCCCCAGGGACCAGACGCAGCCCTAGGCTCCACCCCCACCCTGTCCCGTTGTCTCTGCTGGCCCCGGCCACACTCCAGTCCGCAGTGACAACACTGCCAAGCAGGGGACAGTGGGCCTTACGTCTGACCTCGTGTTATCTTGGGCATTTTTAATTTCTATTTTCTTCTTGAAGTTTTTATGTCTTAACATCCCGGCGTGGTGGTGCACACTTATAATCCAAACACTCAGGAGGCTGAGGCAGGAGGAGTGCTGAGAGCTTGAGGCCAGCTGGGGTACACAGCAAGACCCTGTCACACACGAAACCCAAAAGCAAAAGGTTTTACAGCTCATTCTTCACACTTTTGAATTTATTTCCCTGGGGCAGGGGGCGTGAGGTGGGGATCCACCTTACGCTTCACTTGTACAGCTGGCTGAAAAGCACACCCCTCCCCGCAGCAGCAGCTCTGTCCCTGGGCCCTGCTCCCTCTGGCACCCCGTTTATCACCACCTCGCCTCCGCGCGGTGCTGCCTGAGCCCCCGCGTCAGGAAGGCGAGGCTTGCGGTGCTGGACAAAGGGCTTTCTCAGGGGCGTCGCCTGTATCCCCGCGTTACTGTCCACATCTCTGGAGCTTTACTGTAGCTCTGCTCGGTTTTTGTTTGGTTTTTACTAAGGATTGAACCCAGGGCCTCCCAGCCTGCTGGGATGACAGGTGTGTGCCGCCACACTGGCTCTTCTGCGGTTATTATGTTTTTGAGCCAGAGTCTCGCTCTGCAGCCCCCGCTGGCCTCAAACTCAAGGCGATCCTTCTGCCTCAGGCCCCTGAGTGCTGGGGTGACAGGCGAGCGCCACCACGCACGGCTGTGACTTTCAGGGTCAAGTCTGCCTTGTTCTTGGAAGCAGCGGGGCCCCTGAGCCTCCGTTTGCCTTCCCATGCCCGCAGGTGGCAGAGCTCAAGGACCAAGGGCAGAGCCGTGAGCACGTGCTGGACCGTGACACCCGCGCGGTGGTGTCAGCTTCCAGGTGCAGGGCTGACGCCATCCCGGCGTTTTAAAGCCTCTGCTGGCTCCCACGCGTCCGGAGCGAAGTCCACGCATCCCCGGCTTACCTCCCCCTCCCGCCAGCCAAGCCCTCGGGACCCCACCTGTGATGCCCCCTTCTTTGGGGAGGAGCCAGTCCCCCCGGGGCTTTTCTGACTGTGTTCTTTTCTCCCTGCACTGTAACTGTGTGGGTGCGCCATGGCTTTATTTGTATTGCTTCATGAACCTGGCACAGCTGTTGGCATCTCCCCAGCGGCTTGCCACCCTCCGGGGACACACCCCAACTTTGGTGACAGACTTTTCTGCAGCTCTGGGGATGGGATCCAGGGGTGCTTTGTTGTTTTGAGAGAAGGTCTCACTATGTTGCCAGGCTAGCCTCAAATTTACAACCCTCCCGCCTCAGCCTCCCGGAGAGCTGAGATTACAGGCATGTGCCGCCATGTCCAGCCCTCTGCTCCCTTTAACACTCAGCAGCCGGGGATGTTGACACGTCAGAGGCCACAGAACTTGTCAGCAGCTGGGCTGAGACCTGCGCCCTGGCCCAGCGGCAACGCCCAAGCCAGCTGTCACGGCAGGGAGGCTTTGCCCGCTCTGTCCCGCCCCCTCAGCATCCCTCGCTCCCATGCCAGCCCCGTACCCCCTCCCAGCACTCCCCAACATCACCCACTCCTGCCCTGCCCCCCGCGGCTGCTTCTCCCGGGCTGTCGCTGCCCCCATCTCGCACCATCTGTCAGCCAGCAGGCGCCTCTGAGGACTGGGCGTCCTGGGCTTAGCACATCACTGGCATTCAGGACACAAGCGACACGGCCTCCCGGCTCTTTTCAGGCGCTGCGATGCTAGCTGGGTGTCACAAGACCGAGGAGAGGAAATGCACTGTTCACGCCTGCCTGCCTGGAACCAGAAATCACCCACAGCTGCGGCTCTGCCGCCAGGCCTTGGGTCAGGAGCCAGCCCGCCCGGGGCACGAGCTGGGCCACCGCCCAGCGTGCCAACAATGGGGGCCCAGGTGCCGTGGCCGTCCCCGCCATGTCTGGAGGTGCCCTGGTGTCCCTCGTGCTGACTTCCTGCCACCAGGCCCACGGGGTCAGGGGTCTCTTTGGGTTTCTCTAGCCCCAAGCCCTGGAGGCTGCGGAAACCCCACACGCTTTGCACCGCACACTCCGTAAAATTAAGAATGACCAAGCAGTAAGTTTGATCAGTGGGGAGTTTTCGGAATACCCAGGCCCGATCTGAGGTGGCCAGTGGTGGTTTCCAGAGTGTCACTTTCATCAGCGCCTACGCGTGCATGGTCTAATCACGCACCGGCTCTGTGCAGAGAACCCTTGGTAGATGAAGGGTGAACCTCCCGAGCAGGACGGGAGCCTGCAGCTCAGAGTTTGAGGAGGAGCTGGGCCTGGCGGAGCCCGCCTGTACTCCCAGCACTGTGGACAGCTGAGCAAGAGGATCGCCCAGTCTGAGCCCAGCTTAGGTGTTTTAGTGGGCCTCGATCTCAAAACAACAACAAAGGTCTGGGCAACAGCTCAGTGGGAAGGCCCTGGGTTCCACTCCCAAACAGACCCATCCCACACGAGAGTCCAGCGCTAAGGGAGGCGCCCTGGCGTCTGAGGAAGCCTGTCCCTGGTGGACTGCAGCCAGCAGGACGTTACCGCTGGGTACCCACTTTCCACCTGCCTGTGGCCAGCGGCCGGCCAGCGCAGTGCTGGCTCACTCCCTCGGACGCCGGTCACCACACAAACCACGGGCTCCAGGACGCACACCCAAGGCCTGCAGGCTCTGTGCTCGGTGCTCGTCCTGCAGCAGCCTTCCTCCACTGCCGCAGCAGGTCTCCGCTGCTCCTGAGGGGCGCAGCCTCACTGAGGCCGGGGTCCACCCTGGCTTCTGGTGGGCGCCCCCAGCTCCCCTGCACCTTCAGGAGACAGGCTGACATCACAGGACCACCTGCCTGACAGCGGGCCCAACACACAGGATCCTCGGGGGCCCGGTCTGCGGGTTCTGCAGACTCCAGTACCATCGCACCCCTTCTCACTGTGCCTGAGGACGCTCTTCTCCCCGTCCCGGCCCGGGAGGTGGGACCCGGCTCACAGGGCCGCTTCTCGCCCGCTGCCTGTGTCCCTGCAGTCCCCGCCCCGCACAGCTCCACACACCGCAGAGCACCTCCTCCCGATGCTCCTCTTCCTGGACGCACCCCCTCTCCTCCCGCCCGGGCCTCTAAGCGACCCCCTGGGAACATGGCAGAGGAACGCGGTGACCTCAGAAGACAGGAAGGGCTCCCAGGAAACCCTGGAAAGAAGAGACCAGACACTCACAGGGCTGTGTGTGAAATACTGCATTTTATTGGTTGGCACAAGATTACAACCTCAGCTCCAAGCCTTCCCTCCCCCAGCGCACAGGAAGGAGACCGAGGGCGCACAGGAGGGTCGGCAGGCGCGCAGGCTTTCGCGGTCGCTCTACAGAAAGGCGTGGGGTGTGGGGTGCGAGTTCTGGGGGAGTCCAGGCTCTCTGGTCTGCAGGGGAGGCCGCCTGTCCCCTCCGCTGGCACCACACAGAGTGACGTGTCGGGAAGGAAGGCGAAGGGCAAGGCGGGGAGGCGGCAGGGCATCTGTGGGCACCTGCCTCGCCAGGCCTGGGGCCAGGGCCGTGCCCTTCCTCCCAGCACGGGCTGCTCCCGCGGGAAGGAGGTGTGAAGGCAGCCGCGAGTTCCCACCTTGGGAAAGGGAAGCAGGGAGGCTCGCTTTCCTTCCGCCCTCTCCGGGCCAAATTCCACTGCTGGCAGTGACAGGAGTGCCGCAGCAGTCTCCCCAGGGGCACCGTGCAGACGCCAGGGCAGAGGCCCGCCCGCGTGGGGAGGGAAGCCTGACTTTCCGCACACCGCCAGGCCAGGCTTTGAGAACCCAACAACAAACGAGACAGGAAAACATAAAGGAAAAGCAGACCGCGACCCCACGGGCTGGTAGCTCCGGACTCCTGCAGCACAGACCCCACTCCGGTCCCCACCCTAAGTGCAGGGCTCAAGACACTCCTGTCCCCATCCTAAGGGCAGGGCTCAAGGGCCGGCACGCGCCTCCTTCCCTGTCAGTGCCACTCGGGGCTCCCTCCGGGCCCTCTTCAAAGGATGCCCCATCCCGCCCCTTTCAACATTAAGGAACGCCCGCGGCGCCTCCATCTCAATTCCAGACGTGACCGGACTTGGCCACCGATGCCTCTGCTGAGCTGCCTGCACCGTGGAAGGAGGGACGGAAGTCTTGTGTCTTGGCAACAGCTAAGCGCAGCACATCCTGCCCGCCCTGTCAAGGCGACGGCCTCCCTGGAGGCAGAAGCCCCGTCCGCCCGGTCCTCAAGAGGGGACAAGCGAGTCTAGTTCATTCTTTAGCACTGCGGTCTTGGGGACCACGGACAACCCTGTGGGCGCCACCAGGGGACGAGCAGAGGGAGGTGACCGGGGAGGACAGCCCTCCCCCAGCCCAAGGCTGCCCGCCCTGCACCAGCAGAGTGCAAGGCAGGTCCTAAACAAAGGCTTTGCGGCCCCCCGGGCACAGGGCTGCCCGTGATGCGACTGAGCGGCCGGCAGGCCCTGAGCCTTCCCATTCCAGCTCCCCACAGCCCGAGCAGCCTCACTTCCGCAGCTAAGCAGAGGCCCACGGGCTGCCGCTGTTCTGACGGACGCACTCGCTCAGCCCCCTTCTCGTGGGAGGCGGTCTGCAGGCCTTCCGACCAGGGCGCAGCAGAACAGGCCTGGCGTATACGGAGCTGTGCCCGTGCCGCTTTCGTGACACGCGGCCCGCATCCTCTTCTAACCAGGAGGCTCTGTGTGGCCCGGGCTCCTCACGCGTCTGTCCCGGAGCAACGCGCCTGCATGTGCTCACACAGATGTGAAAGGCCGAGCGCTCAGAGGCGAAGCGAAATGCTGCGGCAAGCTAGCAAGCCGGAGGCGCGGAGGGCTCGGCCGCGCGCGAACATTCTGGGCGAAACCCCCTCGGCCACAGCACGAAGGTTTCCAGCTGCAAGCTAGGGTTGGGGTGTCTGCTGTTCCCCTGACTTCAGCACATCCCCGAAGGTTGCACGCTGTGGGCTCCCCCAGAAAGACCTCAGGTCCCCGCGACACTGAGCACCCTGCAAGCCCGCCAGGCCTGAACTTCAGACCTGCTACCTGGCGGCCCTTGTGTCCTGCCCCTTCCTGGGTCCCGGGAACCAGTCTGGGCCTTCCCCAGTACAAGTCATGTGTGTTACACCGAGGGACCAAAACTAGACACGCTTTGGGTGGTTTATTAGTAACACACTTTCCGTGACGAAGGGCGCTAAGTTAGAGATTAGAGCTCAGCGCTGGAAAGCTTCCTCTCAGGGGACGAGAGGTGGCCAAAGAGGCCCAGGGCAGGACTGCTTCCGGTGGGATTCACAGTCCACTCACGGGGAAGCCACGGCCCGGGGACCCGCCTGCCGCAGCAGAGGGCCAGTCTGGGCCCAGCACTGGCCCAGAGGCACCGTGCTTGCTTCCCAAGGGCTGCAAAGCTCTTTCCAAATCCCTGAGTGGGCTATTACTCAAGCCTGGCTCCCAGGACAGAGAGCAGCTCGGCAGCAATGCTAGCCCGGAACGGGCATCTTCCGCCTCAGGGTGGCTGGCTCTCCGCGCTTGGCCTCGGGGAGCGGAGTGGAGGGGCGAGCAGGGCGGCACGGTGACAGACCTGGTGAGAGGACAACGCTGTCTTTTCTGGTGTTGCCCGGCAGGAAGCCAAGTAACTTTTGGGGATCAAAACTGGGAACGTACACCCAAGAAAACATGGAGTGACTGAACAACTGGCCGCTTGGAGATGGACGCAGAGGTCTCTCCCTCTTCTAGAAACTGACCCTCCCTGTCCAGCCACAGCGTCTGCTCGGCTCCAGAGCCCCTGGCCCGCCGTGCTCCGAGCCCATGTGGCTCTCCCCTCCCCGGCGATGGCTCCCAAGGGCGCAGTCTCACTTTCTAGACCAACTCGAGTTCTCCAAATTATCACTGTAAGTAAAGCCTGAGAAGTGACTCTGACTTCAAAAGCTTAGTGTCAGAGAGACACGAACCACGTGACTGCGGGCCTCCGCGTGCCAAAGGCACCACAAATCAGCCTGCTCTTTCACTTCCCGGTCTCTAGGGGATATGATGACTCTGAAGGTGAGCGGCACCGTTTCCCCAGATGGCCAGGTTAGGCTTCTCACATCCCCGCACGCTACCGGCTGACTACGAGTTTCGGGGCCAGTGTGAACACAGGGCCCAGTGTGCGGCTGCCCTGTCAGAAGCAGGAGTCAGACTGCTGGCTTTTATGGGGGTCTGCCTGCAGCCCAGTGTACGGACCACCGCTAGCTTTCAAGGACTGCAATCAGTGGTCCCCAACTCACTATTTTTACCTCAAAGTCTCCAGTGTCTCAGCGCTTTAGGCGACACCTCAGGTGACATGGACGGTGAGGCTGCCTCAGGAAGCCTACCTAGGAGTGCAGTGACCCACCCGCTACGAAGGTGGTGATGTGGCGGGGCAAGGCAGAGCCGCCGACGGGACGGGGACGGCCCTGCGGCCCCCAGGAGAAGGGCTCCCGCCAACAGGACTCCCAAGCAACGGCGGCCAACATGCATTTCTTGTAGAACAGAAAAACAATGCTACTGAAGTGACTTGTCCACGTATGTCCCCCTTCTAAACCTCATCTCAACTTGGACGGACTTGAACCCCACTTCAGAAATATGAAAATCATACTGCAGTGGCAAGTCACACTGTGGAAAAAACCCAATCACGTTGTGATTCATAAATCCTCTGTGATAAGCTCTTTCACACCAGAGCGAGGTGGCCTGGGCTGAGGGTTTTAAAGACAGGCCAAGGGGGTCCCAGCAGAGGGTTAGTGCGGCACTGGGGCAGGCGGGCCGGTGCGGAGCACAGCGGGGAACGCGCCGCGGGCGGCCGCGGGAGACGCAGCACAGGAGGAGAGGAGGAGAGCTGGGCCCTGGGAAGGGGGCAGTTCTGCACAGAACTTGGTGACCTCATTCTTCCAGGTAAGCCTAAGAGACTGCACGATGTCTTCAACACCAAAACAGCAAGTATTTCTTGGCTGTGAAGGAAGTTGCCCGTGTAGCAACACATTTATAAAACTATTGTGAACGCCCTGAGAGCAATGCCCTCTGCCCCTCCCAGGCCCAGGCAGTGGCCGGTTCCAGGGCTTCGCAGCGCAAGGCCCAGGCGGCATCCTGCAGCGCCTCCACCCTGGGACCTCACAGGAGTGAAGCCCGTGCCCCTTGGAGCCCGCCGATGGCTCAGCAGCGAGGGAGCCCTGTCCCTGCAGGTCAAGCAGCGCAGCGCTGGACTCTTGGAAAAAACAAGACGCAGCTGATTCATGAGCTGTTCCGGCCTGTTCTTCTTGCTATGAGAACTAATGCGGCTACAGAGCACCTAATATGGTTGACCCGTAGTCATCTTCCTCTCTCTCCTTTCCCGTCTGTCTCTCTCTCTCTCACACACACAGACACACATTAGGTCCTGGTCTGAAAAGATCACATGACCTCACTGGCATTTCCCCAAAGGCTGTAATTTATGAACTAGAAAAAAAAAAAATAAGAAAAACCCCTGCTGCCATCGTCCTCTGCCCAGAGCACGGCGGACTCCGCCGGAGACTCAGCAGCGCAGAGGCTGGGGCGGGCAAACTGGCTGGCGGCCAGGGCCAGGTTTTGGGCCACCCCAGGAGCCGCTTCCCCAGGCCCATGCCGGGGCGAAGTCACCGCAACTCACTGCCAGGGAGTCTCTGTACTCTGCTTTCTTGGAGAGATAAAGGGCACTGTAACCATGGGTCCAACCGCTCTATCCCAAAAGGACTCCAACCACACATCCATAAAAATGGCCAGGGCACCGCCGGTGCCAGAGCGGAAAAACCCCGCGCCGGCTCATGAGCATCGGTGCAGCAAAGGCGCTGGCTCCCACAGAGCCGGGCTGGACAAAGCCGCCTTGTGCGGCGCAGAGGGCCCAGCGCTCCCGGCTGGCCGAGCGCCTTAGCAGGGCCACTCACACCTGGGAGGTTTTCTCAGCGCAGCTCACCCTCTCCCCCCGAAGACTCCCACCACAATCACAAGAGGACTCGGCGGTGCACCACCGCACACCCAGCACACCCTCAGACCGCGGAGACACGCACAGGACGGCTGCCAGCGCCGCTCCTCTGCACCACTGACTTCTGCGAAGCACTTTCAAGCCACACCACACACAGAGAATTATTTGGAAGTTGCACGTTTTTGATTCTACACAGAAGTTAAATTTACTTTATCTCCCCTTTACTTGGACAGAACGTCAGAATGCAGCCCAAGCAGTGCGTTCACGGCAGCAGGACACGCGGACGGCGAGCCGGCCAGCACTCGGATCCCGGGGCTGCGCTCCCTCGGGGACACCGCGGGCACAGCTCTGCCTCTGGGTTTATGGTTGGGACAGAGAATGCAGAGCACAGAGCAAAACTGGAAGTTCTCCTGGTGCTGTCCCTAAAAACACTGAACACTACACGACCCAGGGCTACCAGATGCGTTTCTCTTGGAGGGAGGGAAAAGCAAAAGCTTTTTAAAGTTTGAGTACTTCTTACAATCTTTAAACAGCGCTGCGATTTTAACTTTACATCTTGGCTGTGTCTGACAGAGGAGGTGTCGCTAAGAGAAGAGCAACAACCTCCCATCCCGAGCTAGGGCTCAGCCCCCTGCCCGCCGCCCCTCCAGGCCGCCCCAATCCCTCCTGCTTCCCCACCCAACACACCCAGTCACCACGACCACGAAAGCTGCATCATCGCACCCGTGTTGCAACAAGACCTCAGCGAGCCCAAGCACGAGTGGCCCGGCGTCCATGACTGCACGGCCCCCCGGCGCTGCTCGGCATAGCCTGCGCCTTCGCAGCCTGGAGGACAGAGGTGACCGTTTCTGAGTGTGCCCCGGGCTGCAATCACAAGTGGCACAACACTGCAAGGACAGGTACAGCCGCCTCTGTCCCAGGACTTCTCCGGACCGAGCCAGGTCACCCAGCACAGCGCCGACTGCGCAGAACTACGCTCGCCAGAGACAACGGGCGAGTCCAAGCGAGGCGGCACCGGCTCTGCGTGCGCCAGGCACACGTGGTAGAGCGCTGGCCGCGAGAGGCAGGGCCGCAAGAGTAGCGTTATGGACGATTCCAACCCTGCAGGGCAGGGACAGTGTGCTGCACTCCAGTTTCTGCGGTAATCCCAAGAATCCAGTTCTGACCCCACTGTGCACATGGAAGGCAGAATTCAGTTTCCATCACTGTCTCGCTGGGTCTGGGCTGAGGCCCCTGCTCCTGGCTCGGTAATAAGGAGAAGAGGTTCTTCCTGTTTCTCTCCTGGCTTGGAGACTGCTTCCCGAGCAGGCAGTGGGTCCCGGGAGCGCGGGAGTCGCCCTGTGCAAGCACTGCCCTCACGGGGTTACATGCAGGGCACGGGACCCGGCCTGGCCGCTGGCGTCGAAAACAAATATGGAGGTTAACTAAAGGGTCTCCAGACCAGAAACACCCCGAATCAAAAATGAAAAACCCTGACGTACTGAACGGTGAGATTCTTCTAAGTCATTTATTTACATATTATATGTGCAGTATATAATGTGTAGATAAATGTCCCCTGCAGTCAAAGTGCCCAACCTACTGGACTGAACGGCACATTATAGGACAAGTTCATCTCACACTGGTATCTTTTAATAAAAAAAAGTTTTTTAAAAATCAAAGAAAATATCTGGCCGGGGCTGGGCGAGACAAACAGGGACGCTTGAGAACCGGGGGAAAGATGTCTGCCTCTCTCAGGGGGTGCAGTGTGAAAAGGGGGACAGATCATGCACGGAAGTACTTACAGACACACACCCAGCCCCCACCCGCCACGGAAAGAAGAAAAAGCCCCATCACGAACACCACACGGGAAGTCACTGCGCGCCCTGCTCTGCGCCCGCTGCCGCGCGGAGGGGGAGGAGGCGGCGGCTGGGGGCCGGGGAGAGGGCCGAGCTGCAGTCTGGGTGCCCGCTCCACGGCTCGCGGAGTCTTCAGTCATCTGATGCCCGACATGGAGCTCTGAGGAGAAACCGAGTAGGCGGTGGCCACGACCGGGGTGCCGTTGTTGGCGGAGTAGCCTTGCCGCAGCGCTTCGAAGTACGACGCCTGCACGGGTTTGTGACACTGCAGCACTTTTATGGCCTCTTCTATTTTAAACCACTCCCTTTTCCTTCCTGTGAGGGCAGAGAAGAGGCAGGAGTACAAGGGGAAGCAATGAGGTTTCTGAGCCTCCATGGTGTGAGAAAATGTGCACAAGAACATGAAATCAATGTTCATTAATACTTTTAAATTATGTAGTTCATATATTTTTTTCCTTCTGTTCTTTTTTTTTGGTTTCTTGACAGTCTCACTATGTGGTGCAGACTGACCTTAAACTCACAGCGATCCTCCTGCCTCAGCCTCCCAAGTGCTGTGATTACAGGCGTGTGCCATCAGCAGACAAGCACACTTTATATGCTCCACAATGACTCAAATGCCTGATGAAGAACACAGGTAAGGACTGCAGCCCTGAGATGCACACTGGCTGTGTACGCCCCCCTGCACACCCGGGTCCTGGGGTGCCTGGGCCTGGAAGGGGCCAGCAGTAGCCCACTTGCTGCAAAGCTGAGCATGAGAATCAGCACCTCTGCAGAACACTAGGACAGCTGGCTTGTAATCAGTTATTTAAAAAGCTTTTATAGGAGTGATATACCCACTTAATAGAAAATATAAAACATTGTTAGAGCCACGTGTGGTGGTGCACGCCTATAATCCCAGCACTCGGGAGGCTGAGGCAAGAGGATCGTTGTGAGTTCGAGACCAGCCTGGGCTACAAAATGAGCTCAAGGCCAGCCTCCACTGCATAGCACAACCCTGTCTCAAAAACAAAAACATTGTTAGTACAAATCACTATTATAACTTTCCAGCTTTCATTTTTTTCATATTAATGTTTTAAAATCCTTTACTACTTTTCTCTTATGAAAGTAATAAAAAAGTCAGCCGGGCACGGAAATTTGTACCTATAATCCTAGCACTAAGGGAGGCAGATGTTCAAGTTCTGCAAGGGTAATTTAGTGACACCTTGTCTCAAAAAATAAAAAGGTCTGGGATGTAGCTCAGTGGTAAAGCTTTTACCCTGGATTCCATCCCCAGTACTGAAAAACAGAAAGCAAGAAAGAAAAAGTAATAAAATACCACTGCCTAAGCTAGGCCTTTTTGTAAAGGCTTGTAAGTCCAGTAGTCTAGGAGGCTGAGGCAGGAAGATTTCCAAGTTCAAGCCCTACCTGGGCAACTTAGTGATTCAGTGAGACCTTGTTCCTAAAGGAAAAAATAAAAACAGCTGGAGCTAGAGTTGGAGCTCAGTGTGAAGATCCTGGGTTCAATCCAGAAGCAGCACAAAATAAATAAAATAAAAATCACTGGTTAAAATTGGAGAAACATGGGAGGCTGAGGCTGGGGGTCACTGCAAGTTTGAGGCCAATGAGTGCAAGGTCAGCCTAAACTATGTAGTGAGACCCTGTCTCAAAAAAAATAAAAATAGATTAAAAGCTTTTGTGTATTGAAAGAAAAAAAGGAGAAACAGAGCTAGGGGTTTAGCTCAGCGGTAGGGCGCTTGCCATGTAGGTGGCCCTGGGTTCAACTCCCAGCCCTGGCGGGGGAGGGGAGCTGGAGAAACAGGAAAGTAGAAAGAATGCAGTAAGCACATCCTTTTTTTTTGTTGGCTGTTTTTGGTTTTTTGAGTCAGGGTTTCGCATGTACACCAGGCTGGCGGCGATCCTCCTGTCTCAACCTCCTGAGTGCTGGGATTCCAGGTGGGCACCACCATGCCCAACAAGCACCATCACATCTTACAAGCCAGAAACAACCACTCTCAATGCCGTGGTGAACTCACTTTTCTACCACCCATGTCTGAAAAAGAAACCCACGGCACATCTGAAATCACGCTCCCAGCTCTCCCAATGCAGGCCGGCTCCGGAGCGCTGTGGCTAGGAACGAGGGCCGCACGGCTGCTGTGCCCCGCGAGCTGGAGAGCCGCAGGCCAGCCCTGGGCTCCTGTGCGCCATAGCCCTCACCCAGAAAACAGACAGTAAGTGGGGCCTACCCCCCAAGTCTGCCGCGCCGGTTCGTTAGGGGGCACCTGGAAAGCACCCGCACAGAGTGCTGACTTTATTTTCGGTGGCGCTAGGGATCAAACCCAGGGCCTTCACAATGAGATGCACCCTTCTCCTCTCCTTTTTCTAACTTTCTTTCACTGTTTTTTTCAGATAATAGAGTCTCCCTATGTACTTCAGGCTGGTCTCAAACTCCAGGCAATCTTCCTGCCTCAGCCTCCTGACTGCTGGGATCACAGGCATCTCCCACCATACCTGCCTCAACCAGCCGATTCATGTATTGAATTCTTGGTTTATTTTTCTTCCTCTCTGCCCACTGTATAAGTGAAAGCTGGCCTGTGGTCAGAGCCGCCTTAGTTTCCATTTCAGCTTCGTTTTCCCCAGTACTGAGGCTTGACCCAGGACCTCTGCAGTGAGCTACCTCCTCAGCCCTTTCATTTCAAACTTTGAGAGTCTTGCTAAACTGCCTGGGCTGGCGTTGAACCCGCGGCCCTCCTGCCTCAGTGTGTGCCCAGCTCCACTTCCTGTTTTAATGTGGCTCTACTGGTACACATGTGAGTTGGGGCCCCGCTCTGCTCTCACCAACACTGCAGCACGAGCTCTTCCCCGTGCCTTGCTCCAGCCTGTACCCATGGCCTCTGGCCCCGTGATACCTGTGAGATGCAGGCACCTCCGCTCACTGGCATTCACCCAGCCGCACGGTCGGCGAGGGGCAGCGGCAGAGGAGGCCACACGGTTCGCTCCTCACTTCACACAGTGCCCCCAGCTGATTCCCAAACGTGCGTGGAAGGCCTGTGTGACAGCAGCAGAGCCGGGCACCCGGAAACTCAGCATCGCAGTTTAACTCCCGCCTGGCAGGGCCGCCTCTCACGTACCTCAGTCCCCTTCCAGGTGTCAGTGCTCCCATGCTGAGCTTACTTAGCGAGCACGCTGCGTAAGGGCCACACCGCCCAGCTTAACAACACGTGGGGCACAAGGACCAGGACACACCGACAACGAAGGAAAGGGTTTGCCACATCAGTTTTATCCATCTGCTACTTTAAAGTAGAAATTCCATTAATATCACACTTCTCCAGAGTATACTTTCCTTTAAGGTAAAAGATTAAACCCTAAACCAACCAAACTACCCCAGCTGCTAGTTGAAAAGACTCACAACGGTGACCTGTGAGTTCAAGGAAACGGCTCCTCAGGAGAAAGCCAGCTGCACTTAAAGGCTAGGGTGAGAGTCAGAAGCCACTCCCCCACCCTCTGCATGTCTGGGCCGACTGCTGGGCTGCAGAGGGGGCCATCCATCAAGCCAACAGTTTCCTCCAACATATGAAAGACTTCTTCCTTCCAGTACCGAGGGTGGAACCTGGGGCCTTTGCACTGAGTTATATCTCTAGTCCTTAGAAACAATTTTTTTTTCCTGAGACATGGTATTTTTTTTTTTTTTTCTTCTGGTACCAGGAATAGAACTCACAACCTTGCACTTGCCAGGCAGGCACTATGCCACTGAGCTAAATCCCCAGCCCGAGACATGGTATTGTTACGTCGCCCAGGCTGGGATGGAACCTTCGATCCTCCTGCCTCAGCCTCCCAGAGTACAAGGGTTATGGCATGTGCCATCCTGCCTGTTTTTCCCCTATAGTGCTGTGCACTCAGTTTAGGGTTTGTGTGCACCAGGCAAGTGCTCCACCACTGAGCTACAGCGCCGGGCCAACAGGGCGCGTGAGTGTCCCGCTCTCACTGCTGGCCCTCAGGGCAGCAGCAGCCCTGGCCTGGCCGAGGCCCCTGCCAGTATCTGCTTGGACACAGAAGCCAGTTTGATTTCAGAAATACTTCTAATTCTCAGGGGCTTCAGTCTCCCTTCGGACACTTCCAAAATGGTGCGTGCAGCGCTCCCAAACCTGCCCCTCTGCTCCTGCTCTCCGGCAGGCTCCTGCTGCTTCTTGGTGCTGCCTAGGGTCACGGCAAGGGCTGGGGGCGAGGCGCCACTTACCAATGTTCACCGAGTCCTCCCAGTCTTCCAGCACTTCTGTGACAATGAGCACGTACACGTATGTCCTGTGCTTCCTCTCCTGGTTCTGGGGGGCCGGAGAGAGGGGTGGAGGGAGAGTTAAAGGAACACACTCTTGCACGCCTGTCCAGGGAGTTTAGGTACAGATTCCTCTTACTTTTGACCCCCTGACAACTGCGGCCTAAAGCAGCAGCTGAGCCTGAACCTGAGGGTGACCTCTCTGGCCAGCGCTTTAAAGCCCAGGCCCGACACTCACTTTTCCTTCTCCTTCCCCTACTGGGAGCTTCCCAGGAATGTTGACTTCTCAAGAAGTCCGAGACACTGTAATGCACACAGCCCAGACTGAGCGGAGCCTGCAGAGTGGGGTCGCTGCCAGGGTCTCAGGCAAACGCCCCTCGGATCGCGGGCCTCCCCGCTCCTAGAGCCCTGCTCCTCTGCTCTGCTCCCCTGCCTCCTCGCAGCCTCCCCGGACCTTCAAAGCTCTGCGCAGACTACGTCCTTGTGACTGCCGCCTGCACCACAGCTGCTTATCTTCCATTTTTGCTCTTTTCTCTACACGGACCCAGCTTTCCTCCCGCCTCAGGAGGACAGGAAGACAGGCAGGAGTGGGCATAAACACATGGAATTCCAGTACTTTGGAGCAAGAGACTAGGAGATGTAAGAAAAAGGAACACTACTCACTGCTGGGCTACTTTGTTTTGTTTTGCTTTGGTACTGGGAATCGGACGCAGGACCTGACGCTTGCCAGGCAGGCGCTGTGCCACTGAGTTGCATCCTGGGCCTACGCACTGCTTTGCTTTGACAACTGGGTGAAATGCAGACGGCCCCTTTCCCAGCTCAGGAGTGTGTGGTTATTCATGTACCATTTGGACTAAAGGTGATAACAAACTTACCTCAAATATTCCAACTAATCTTCCCAATGTCCCTTTTACTCCAGCCTAGAAAGGTAAAAAGAAAAATGAACACACTGATCTCATTATGCAGCTGGCCTCACCCCGAGTCTGCCTGAGAGGTCCTGTGAAAAAGAACTGAAACCAAATACAGCTAGGGTGGACTCCAGGTCTGGGGCTGCGTGTCACACCCTGCTGGTCACCATCGGGACGCTGCAGGGAGCCAGAGTTCCCCACTCAAGCTGGCCAAACAGAGTGAGATGATCAAGCAAGACCAGTGAAGCTGTACCAGAAGTATTTTTTGGTGTTAATTACTTCACTTATTCATTCATGTAACACACGTGTGAGCGCGCGCGCACACACACACACAGCTAATGTGAACAGGAAAAAGTGGAGGTGCCTCAGAGCAACGGCAGGTGAGAAGGCAGAGCCGGGAGAGCGAGAGTGGGCTGGCTGGCTCGGGCTGTCCCTGCCGCAGCCCGCGGGGCCCTGCAGAGTGCGCGCTGACTGGCACACGCAGGGCAGCCCGGGCAGGCACTCTACAGACGTGCAAGAGGGCGACGCGATGGGCCGTTCGCGTGAGGGCACGGTAGTGGCTGGAGGACCTGTGTTCTTCCTTGAGACGGCTGAGGCTGGCCCTGAACTCACAACCCTCCTGCTGCGGGGATCACAGGCACGTGTCACCGTGCACAGTGACCTTCGTAGTGGAGGCACTTTCTATCTCCCAGCAGCATTTTCAAATGTTTCTGTCTTTCTGATACATTACAGATGAACTGTCCAGTCTACACAATTCATTAATTTTCAAGTGTATCCAGGCTATTTTTCATTTTACCTGTTCTTCTTGCATCGGTCTGTTTCTACCCCAGTCCTGGGACTGAAAGCAGGGCCGCAAGCAGCTGACGAGTGCTCCGCCATTAAGCAAAAGCCCCACCTCAAGTCTCCGCTCCAGCCCCACTTCCTCTCTGCGCCTCTCCCATGTGGGCTCAGGGCCATTCCGTCTCACCCGCTCAGCTGGGGCAGACGCCCACGTCCGTGCTGCGCTCTGGCCGCTCTCGCCAGCTCCCCAGGCCTGGTGTTCGGGGAGGATGTGGGACAGTCACCCATGGGTCACAGATGAGAATCACGAGACCAAAGGGTGCTGGCTCCGGGCATCACACCTCGGCCAGGTCTTCAGAATAGCTTCCGCTCCCACGTCCGTCCTTCCTTCCTTCTGCTTGTTCCCCAACTCCACTTCAGAGGGACACCGAGGCTTCCCTTATTCCCAAGGGCCGCCCACCGCCAGGCAGGCTGGCTTCTCCTCGCTGCTCTGCAATTCTGTTTCTAATCTGCGAACCACTCTCGATCGCTTTGGGGTCAGGCTGCGTCTTTTTGGGTGTGCTGTGTGAGTTGTGTGTTTTATGTGTATTTGCTGGGAACAGAAAGAAAGACAAATGAGGGAAAGAAAAACCCCTAAAAGTGCTTGCTTGGGTAACGCTAGAACTTGTATTCTATTACTGCCATGTTATTTGTGTAGTAAATTTAAAATTAAGGCAATATACTTCTGAACAATACTACTCAATAAGCTTATAAAGAACGAACTAAGTTTTAAAAGGACTCTTTAATAGAAACAACAGAAGCGGATTTAAAGGCCTGCGTTCCTGGAAGACTTATATTTTGAAATTAATTTCTGCTAACTATCTGTCAAGGAACCCTGTTCCTCTCTTGGCAATGTGCCCGCTTTCTCTATTGTTTTGTATCCATTCTTTATATCCATCCACCCATGTGGCTTTTGGTCCACTTGAATAGAAATGTCTACCTTTTCTTATTTAAATTGCTTCTCTTACATTTTTAGAAATAATTGCCCTTCAAAGCCAACTAAAACTAGTGAGCTTTCATCTCATGAATTAACCAACAAAGCTGCCCAAACACGTAGGAAGGGCTGGCAGGCCAGTAGGGGCTGGCAAGCCGGTCCCTTGCTTGGGTCCCAGGCAGCCGGAGCAGTCACCTCTTGTGAGGTCACCTGTGCTGACTCCCAGGTCCGCACGGAGGGCGGCAAGAGAGCGATTGCTAGAGGTCATCCACCTGTCTCTTTTGAAAAGCGGAGAGAGCACTGTCTTTAGTAGCTACTGTCCAACTAATTTCTTTTCCCTTAAATCAGAAGTTTAGCTGGGTGTGGTAGTACATGCCGTAATCCCAGCACTCTGGGAGGCTGAGACAGGAGGATTGGAAGTTGAAGCCCAGTTTGGGCAATTTATCCAGACCCTGCCTCAACCAACCAACCAACTGATCAAATTTAAAAAGGGCTGGGGATGTAGCCTAGTGTGAGGGCCCTGGGTTCAATTTCCAGACACACACACAAACACACAGTTTAGAAAAGCATTCTCCAAATTTTAAGGGAACAAATCAACTCACTATTATGATAACTCAGTATAATTTAAAGCTTTTGTTTAATAGTAATTTCTGTGTTCAACATCAGTATACATAACTCACTGTATCAGAAGCAACTGGAGAATAAAAGCACCTTTCAGTATGAAAGTTGTATTCTTATATAGTGTAAAACTAATACTGCTGCTACCTGAAAACTTACATCTCAGTGGTATTTACTTTCACCTTAACCTTCAACTTGTACAAATTTGCCCTTAGCCTTCTTTCAGACTTTAGACTAATACTTATTTAAAGTGGTCCTACTGGGCATGGTGGCACACACCTATAATCCCAGCACTCAGAGGGTGAGGCAGGAGAAACTGTCTCGAGTTTGAGGCTAGACTGGGCTACATGGTTGAAGCCAGTGAGCTACACAGTGAGACCCCGTCTCCAAAAAAAAGGTGGTCCTACCAATAATTGTACAACTAAAAAGTAGAAAAATATTCAGCTGTCAGTAGTTTCCGGAACTGGGATTGCGCCGTTTTCTTAGGAAGAGGCCAACTGCAAGGATTCCAGGGCTGGGGTGTGGTGTGGTGCTGACTCGGCCCTGGGCTCCATCCCAGCACAAGACAGGAGCAAGGAAAAGGAAGGAAGGAAGGAAGGAAGGAGAGAGGTCAGTTCAGTCAGTGCCGGTAAGAGGACGCGTCTTCACAGGCAGGGTCCTCCAAGACACTGTCCCCCTACACTACGTTACTTTCCTGCAGTTCTCCTGGATCCAGAGTCAGCCTCACTTCCTGCTCCCTCTCCAGTGCTGCCGCCAGTGACCCGAGAGGGGGTTATTTATATCTCTCACATGATGTGGGCACACAGGCCAGAAGGGGTCCGGGCCACATCTAACAGACATCGGGCTCCCTTCTGGGGATGAGATTTGATTCAGGGTACGTGGAGGGCTGGTTGAGTCAGGGTGCTGGCAGAGACCCGTTTCTCTCAAATCTCAAGAAAGCTGTTATAATTTCAATGTCTGTGTCAAAAACCCCTACTTCAGAGGAGGCCCCTTGAGCATAGGTGCTGCAAGCACTAGCGGGGTCTATTTTAAACTAACAGCAACAAGTCAAAATAACACCTATTATCATCATTCAGCCAACGAAGTGAGCGTGTCCTTGAACTTCAAAGCACACGGTATCAATCCTAGTACTTCACATTAGCTAACAAAAGCCATGTAAATAACTGCTGATTTTATGAAAGAAACCATGCATGTCTTTTTCCCTGGTGGTGTTCTATCACAAGGCTGAGAAGTTATCTGGGGAAGGCTGGGCTGACCAGGGAGGCTGTGGGGAACACCCTTCCCATGCATATGGACAGGAGCGCTGGGGCGCCAGGGCGCAGTGCTGACATGACCTTCTCCCAGCATGGGCACCAGACAGTGTCACCCTATGAAGCTGTGACAGGTGCCATGGCTGCCTCACCTCCAGGCACTGTCCTGCCCTCTGGGCTAGCAGAGTCCCAGAGCCTGTCTAGGTCTGGGCCGGGGTCGCACATGAGCGCACGCCACCTCGATGGTCAAGCAAAGCAAGGCCCTGAAACTCGGAGCTGCTGCAGGCGTCCTGTGACTCTGAGGGACAGGCAGAGGAACCGGTGAGAGGTGACCCACATGTGACGTGGGCTGCTGCAGCACCCCGCGCGGCAACCTCTGGACTGCACGCAGGCAAAACACCCAGGAGTTAAAGCTGTTTTAGCTAAGCATTTATTATTTGCATGAAAGCTTCTCTCAATGAGAAGCCAGCTACCGGTGAAGACTAAGAATTCCAAAATAATCCTTCACACCTAAGAAAACCTGTGGGTCTCAAAGCTTCCTCCAGGAGCAGCGAGCGCTGTCAGAAAGGAGCTTCAGGAGGAAGTGCAGCGCCGGACCAGGAGCCCAGGAGCAGCACCGGTCTCCATGCACAAACTATCCGGCTGGCTGCACACAGAGAAGAGAGCACCGAAGATGGGAAGGAGGTAGGGCACCGGCAGAGTCCCGTGCAATAAAACCATAGGCACATGTATGTATGTATGTATGTACGTATGTATGTAGTGCTTTTTGAGATAGGGTCTCACTACGTAGTCCAAGTTGGCCTCAAACTTGCTAAATTGCCCAGGATGGGTTTGAACTTTCGACTCTTCTGTGTCAGCTTTCCAAGTGCTGGGATTAATAGGCATGAATGTTTGCAGTATGCCTTTACTTTTCTTAACTGCAGTGGCTACGATCCCAGTTCAATATTAAATGGCAGTGCTGGGCATGGTGGTGCACACCTGTAATCCCAGCACACAAGAGGCTAAGGCAGGAAGATCATTGCAAGTTCGAGACCAGCCTGGGCTACACAAATTGAGCTCAAGGCCAGTCTGAACTGCATAGCGAGACCCTGTCTCAAAAGGTCAATGAACAAATGAATGAATAAATGGCAGCATTACAGCATGTACAACTGACTAATTCCTTCCTGTCTCTCATGGGAATGCTTCAAAAATGAGAATGCTCTGAAAATTTCAAAGATATGATATTTGCTATTGGTTTTATTAGACACTCCATCAGGTTAACAAAATTATCCTTTTTTTTTGAAAGTTTTTAAGACAGGGTCTAGATACAGGTTCAGGCTGGCCTCTAAATCGTGACAATGCTCTTGCTGCAGCCTCCCAAGTACTGTCGTTACAAGCATTCACCACCATGC